GGGGGGGGTTGCTATGGATAGTAGGTAGGTACGTTGGAAAGGCTAATCTGAGCATGGGTTCAATGTTGTGACAGATATGTACACTCTATCTGCCTTACCTGGATAATTGAGCAGGTAACACCCTTCGCATGTTGCGACTATTCATCATCTCGCTCACACATACACCAACTTCTCCGATCCATTCATTCCATCTCCCACCACACACTCATACTACACTTCCACAAACTTCCCCACAACCTCCGCAAACCTCGCCGCGTCCTCCACCCCCACCCACCCATCTCCCTCTTCTCTCCCCTCCGCAAAAGCAAACAAACACCCCATAACATCCCTCGCCAAAACCGGCACCTCCATCTGCTCCCTCGTCCAGTCACACGCCACATCTCTTACTTCCCCACTTGCAAACTCATGCACCTGAATCTTCACAGGCGCATCGTTGTCCGAGAACTGCAAGAACGGACTGCTTGGAGACACGAGTTTGATTTCGCCCTTTTCGCAATTGATGGTCCAGGTGAGTGCGGGGTCGCCAGGAAAGGCTGGGCCGTTGCGGAAAAGGAAGGCGAGTGTTGCGTTTGGGGCAGTTTGGGCGGAGGGGGCCAGAGTGGCGTGGAGGGAGAGGAGGTCCGGCACGTTGGAGGTAACGTGACGTGTTACTTCTTTTGTTTTTGCGTCGGGAATGCCGAGGGTTGGGCGTTGGATTTGGGATTTGAAGTGGATGCTTGTGGAGGAGAGAGGGCCGAGGGCTGAGAGGATGGAGTCGAGGACTGGGGTTGTGTTAGATGGGGTTGTTTGAGAGAGGGTTTAGAGTTGGATAAACATACGGTGGCCCACGCCGATAATGATGCCGTTTCCACCGACTTCTTTGTCGGTGAAGTAGAGTAGACCTGGGGGCATCATGTCTCTGTAAGGAACTCCGCCGAAGGCCTGGACGTTTGAACTTAGGATTTTTCCCAGTTCGCCTTTGCCTCCATCTAGTAGTTCTCGGAGTTTGATGATGGCTGGATTCCATCGTCTTTGTAGACCCACTGCCACTCTAGATCCGCTTTGTCGTGCTGTCTCGACTATTTCTTGGATGTCGTCTTTGTTCGAGGCGATTGGCCACTCGACATAGACATCTTTGCCTGCTTTGATACTTGGCATGATGACCTCGTGGTGCTTGTCAACTCTCGTGTTACATATCACAAGATCGATATCTGGGTCTGCTGCTAGGTCCTCTGGGCTACCGTAAGCCTTGGTAGTGGCAGGGAATTCGTATTCCTGTATCGCCGCTTTTGCAGCACCAACACTGCTGTTTAGTAATCCAGTGATGGTGATTTTTGAACGGCCAGCAGGTGTCTTGAGAACGGGAAGATGGGCGTTAGCAGCCCATGACGTGGTGCCAGAGGAGGAAAGCCCAATGAGGGCTGTGCGTACGGGTAGTAATTTGGATGTCATTTTGTTGCTGTGAGACACTTTTGGATTTAATGATGCATCAGCCAGTGACTTGTACCGCTGGTTTATGTTGTGTGTACTATGTAGACTGTACGGTCATGGCATGCGTAACTTCGTAGCATTTGTAATACAAATGTATTAGTAAGATGGCGCCTGAGTTGCTTAGGATTGGACGAAAACATTGGTTAGCAGAACTTGGCAATGTTGCGAATGGCACATATTTCGTAGTATGCCAAGCAGCATCAGATTACTACTACTGATCATCTGTAGATAGTCATACATGCCAATATGAAAGATGATTTGGACCCCCAGCTAAGAGACGACCAGTTTTGGGTTTGTTGGGAAAGGGTTCTCCCGGGCATGCACGAAGAGGTAGAGAGAGCCAGTCAGAAGAACAAAAAAACCCTTCGTAACGCGTAGTTGGGACCTATTTGCTTGAGAGGAAGAAGTTGTAGAGACTAAAAATGTGCATACTGAGGGCTTACTAACACAGTGACAAGGTTACTAGGTTGCGCTAATGCAGCAAAGCGATGCTTTGCTTACAAATTCAGCGGATATTGGTATCCGTATTCCTATAACAATACAGGTCCCGTGATGCGAGCTGAATGTTAGGACGTCATTTTCATGTGATTGCTGAGTCCATGCTTTCCGGCTATGGTTGCAGGACGTCTTTCGACAGCATAAAATGGGGAGACAAGATGTGATTTGTAGTGACATGCTTCCGGAAATCCCAACCCATTACTACGACTCGAGTCTCCTCAATTCACATAAGCGTTATCTCGCGGCTCAACCACGCTCAGACCAAGTCTTCGGGACAAGGCGACCGAAGCGGATGATGAAGGCGTTTCGGGTCCGAGATCAGACAGAAAAAGACAATGACAGCCATATGCTTTACGAAAACCACGTGGCAAGCATATACGCTTTGACAAGTCATTCACTGGAGTACCGTGACGCGAGTGTTTGCTAGAAGCACAGGGGCACAACGTACGCTTCGGAAAGCACTCGGCTTCCGAGTTCCGACTCGTTTAGGCTCGAGGCTACAGTAGCACCGAGCGGCTTGTCAGGGATCATCGCTGCTGAATTTTGAGCCCTGCATGCACTTCTGGTAAGGCTGAGGTTTTGACAGGAGGCGCATCACTTAGTAAAGTTGTAATGGCAAGAGGGCACAACGGCAGAGATTGCTTGTCGATGGGTCTTGTTCATTGTAGTAGAGAGGAAAGATGTTTTGCTCCAGATGTGTATAGCTGGTGTGGACCAGAAGATTCGACCGTTCTAAGCCTAACTGCCAGTACGTATATGTGCCTGAATATATCAATTTGCCGTTGCAGCTGGGGATAAATACGGATGTCTTGGCAGGTCGAACCATAGCGGCGGCAACGGTTAGGAATAAGGCAGGTCTATACCATGCCCTGGTCGTGATGTTTGGAGTGGCAGCGGCACTGGTGAAGACCGACACGACGACTGCTAACAATCTTCTGGTATGGTTGAGACATCGGGTGATGAACTTTGCCGAGACTTGACCTTCGCACTGGCAATATGCTTCCAAATACCGTCTGATCAACGTCGAGAAGGAGCATACGACCGGGATGCAAGGAGTACGGGCTAGTCCAAATGGGGCTTAGCTAGTGCGGGGCACGTCCGTGGCGTGTGGGACCGAGGTATGTCTGCCGCGTGCTTGTGAGACGTCGCCCACGCCAGCCTTCTTCAGCAGCTTATAGTCGGCCGATGGTTCCATTTTATCCTGTCTTGGACTTCCCCCTTCTTTTTCCATTCCAATTCATTCCCCGACACAATGGCTGAACTACCCCCCTTCGAACACACACCCATCGACGACATTGCCCCCACATGCGCAAAGGTGCGGGCCAGCTTCCTCTCCCACAAGACCAGGCCCCTCGAGTTCCGCATTCAGCAGCTGCGCAAGCTCTACTGGGGCTTCAAGGACAATGCCGAACTCATCAAAGAAGCCTGCAAGCGCGATCTCGGCAAGCCCGAGTTTGAGACATATCTAACTGAGATCTCATGGTGCATGAACGACTGCATCTGGATGGCTGATAGGGTCCGCCAGTTCGCGAAGGACGAGCCCGCGCCCGACATTTCTTGGACCAACAAGCCACTCCGCCCGCGCATAAAGAAGGACCCCCTGGGCGCTGCTCTGATCATTGGGTATGCTTCCCAATTCCATTGCCATGTCAAGGAGCGATGCTGACAAGAACAGAGCGTACAACTTCCCTATCCAACTTACCCTAGGCCCCCTCATTGGTGCCATTGCAGCCGGATGTACCGCCGTCGTCAAGCCCTCGGAATCGTCACCTAACGCCGCTGTTGTCATTCAAAAGATTCTGCGCGAATCACTTGATCCCGAGTGCTACACGTGTATTCAGGGCGCTGTCCCCGAAACCACTGCCCTCCTCGATCAAAAGTGGGACAAGATCTTCTACACGGGTGGCGAGGTTGTCGCCAAGATCATCGCAAAGAAGGCGGCTGAGACGCTTACACCGCTGACGCTCGAGTTGGGCGGCAGAAACCCTGCCATTGTCACAAAGCACGCGGATCCCAAGCTAGCAGCGAGGCGACTGTTGTGGGCCAAGACGTTGAACGCTGGTCAAGTCTGTCTCAGCCACAATTGCACTTTTGTTGATCGCGAAATCCTGCCCGCCTTTATTGAGGAGATGAGGAAGCAACTACAAGATTTCTACCCACAAGGCCCCCGCAAGTCCCCCGATTACGGACGCATCGTCAATCTGCGTCAATTCCAACGTATCAAGAAGATGGTTGACGACAGCAACGGCAAGATTGTCCTTGGTGGTACCATGGACGAGTCTGACCTCTTCATCGAGCCCACTGTTGTTCAAATCAACGACGTGAACGATAGCATGGTCACTTCGGAATCGTTTGGCCCACTCCTGCCCATACTCCCTGTTGACAACCTCGATGAAGCCATCAGGATCGCAAACGAACTCCACGACACACCCCTTGGCACTTATGCCTTTGGCACAAAGGCCGAGATGGAGAAGATCATCAGCCAAACGCGGAGCGGCGGTGCTTCTCTGAACGACGGCTTCTTCCACGGCTCCATCCCTACCCTGCCATTCGGTGGTGTTGGAACAAGTGGCACAGGCGCATACAGGGGCAAAGCTAGTTTCGATACCTTTACTCACCGCAGGAGTGTGACTACAACACCTGCATGGATTGAGGGCCTCATGGCTGTCAGATACCCACCTTACACGCCCCAAAAACAGAAGCAATTACAGGGCATGAACGACATAAAGCCAAACTTTGATCGCGAGGGAAACCCTCTTGGATGGGGCACTTGGTTCTTGAGCTTGCTGGGTGTGAAGAGCCTGGCTGCCGTTGTTGGTGAGTAAATCGTGTCTTTGCGATGGTGGTTTTCGGTACATCCTGACATCAATCAGCGGCCGTTGCTCTCAGGCTATATATGCAGCGAAGGTCCAAGCTGTAAATGCTGACCATCTAGCGCGGTAGAGTAGGGAGGAAAAGGATGTATAAATTCTGCGTGGGGGAAGTCTTTGAAACAAAACTGAAAATATCTCCGAGAGAATTTCCGGTCATCATTTCTTGTTTAATCATTCAGGATACACGATTGTTCGTTTGATGCCAGTATCATGGTCACCCATCACGTTCCCCGTCCCGGCACTTTCCTTTTCAACATGTACACAATACCAAAATGTTCAATTATATATTGTTAGTCACTACTATTTTCCTTGTGTAATAAGTCTCACTATCACACCTTTCAATCTACAAAGATGCCAGAGTCTCACTTATACTTCTATCCCCCTAGTCCAAGACATTTCTCACCTTCCAAATCATATCTCAATCGTGCCTCCAGACATGCGCAACAGCAAACGCATAGTCTTATCAATTTTTCTTCTTCTGAAAATCTCAAACCACCACTTTATCACAACCAAGATAAAAACCCCAGAGCTATGCGATATACATCCTCCTACATCTCCTCACTCCCTCACTCCCTCCGTAAGCCTTAGTCACTAACACAGATCCCGACACGGTAACTATGCAAACGCCCCCTTCCTCCCGAGACTCCTACCGCAATCCCGATTACCATGTACCCATCTCCGCCCTACACATACCTCGCAACCCTTATTCCTACTCACACTACTCACAACACTCCCGCCACTTCAATCCCGACCTCCCGTACCCATCACCACCATTGCACAACCCCAGCCCCAGCAGAACCAACTCCAAATATTCCACCACTCATTCCCGCAACAATGCAGCTAAAGTCAAGAACCCAGCAGCACAGTGCGCCCACGAAGAAATGCTCCACGACTTCCTGCAACCCAGCGAGCAGTATTCTAGCTTAAAGGAAAGAAGAAGAGTAGAGCGCTTGCATCCCAGCGATCGATGTCCTAGGTGTAAGGGAAGAATGGAGGAGGGTAAGAAGGAGGAAGTGGAAAGAATGGGAAGTCTGGCTGAGAAACTTGTAGTTCGAGTTTTCAAGATATACATGGATACTTTTGTTGGTAGGGGGAAGAGAGATGAGATTGTTGTAGTGAAGGGTAGGGTTGTGAGACGGGGGAGGAAATGTTGGCATTGTAGGGAAGTAAGGGAGTTAAAAGACGGATGAAGAGAAAGAAAGAGAGAGAGAGTATGTGTATTCACTTTGATGTAGAGATTTCTGCAAGCAAAAACGTCATTTATTGGTGCGCGTAAAGTGAATGCATGACATATTTCGATATGCAACGTCAAATGTGCCAAAATCTCCTTGAAGCAAGAGTAGGCCAAGAGCAGAAAAAAAAAGATACGATACATGATATGCCGTACAAAAAAATGCCAGTCATGCCGTTACTCAGAAAAGAAAAAGAGTAACACCAAGGTGTACGTTGAACGAAAAAATGATGCAGAAGAGAGTAAAACAAAACAAACATGCAAAGCGGGCAAAGCCAAACAAAATGCAAGGGGTATCCTCCGTCAAAATAAGCGATAGAAAGAAAAAAATCATCAACGTCGTAAATCCAGTCCTGCCACATGAAGAAGAAGGAAAACCTCAAGCGAAGGGCGAGGTTATGAGAAAAGAGCAGCCGCAAAGCCGCTAAGCGAGTGTTAAGACATAGTTGGAAAAGGAAAAAAACAAGTCAAAACTCCAGTGAGGAGTTGACAGAGCAGGACCGTGAGCGAGTGTTAAGAAGACACAATGAGAAGTGTAAAAGAACAAGAAAGAAATGAAAAGCAAACCCGACCAAGAACAATGCGCATCGTACGTAATCAAGCCAAGAAAAAAAATGTCAGAAATGACTAAAGCATGCCGAAAAATCGAAGCGAAAGACAAAGAAGCGAATGTATGTGAAACGAAGAAAAGAGAAGACTGAGGAGAGCTTCGGGGATTCAAACACCCCATCCACCCCATCCACTCTTCAAAATACGCTCAAGCGATCCGGTAACGCCATCAAGCAGCTCACCAAGCTTCGCCGTCGAGTCCCAGGCACAGGCAGCAGCAGCACCACTGCCCAAGTCATCGACAGGAACGCCGCGAAGTCGCAACTTGACCCAGAGCAAAAGACTGACGCAGCCTGTTTGCTGGCGCGAGACATCCTTTGCAGACATGGCACTTGGCGAGACAAACAGCGCGTTGTTGAGAAAGGAAATCGTATTGATAGTGATCTGCGCGTGCGATAGCACAGGGTTTTCGGGTGTGGCTTCGAAAATGGGGGAGTGGGGAGCGGCCATGGGAGAAGGGAGAAGGGCGCTCTGTTGGGCTGTCGTTCCCGGTTGAGCAAGGGACTGTGTGGTGGTTGAGTTTTCTGAGGATAGTCGTCTCATGCGAGTAGTGGCTGCGACAGTGACGACCCATAAGACCAGGGCGGCGAAGAAGATGCCCATGTCTGTGCCCATTTCTGGTACGACGCCGAGGCGTTGTTCCTGCAGCGCGTGCTGCAGAATCTCGACTGAGATGCGCAAAGCTTCTTTGACTGGCACGCCTTCTGATGCTGGGGTAGACCAAACCTGGGCCACCCATGTCCGAAGACTGGTTTTTAGTGCAGTGAAGAGCTGGGGTGTCTCGACCTTTTCCGAAAGAATCCACGATTCTCCAGAGACGGCGAGGAGAGCGCGGAGAGGTGTCACCTGGACAAGTTTGGAAGTGGCCAGCACTCGCATAGTGACGGGCGTTGTGGCGAGAAGATGCTCAATGCTTGATACTGTCGGCGATGATATGTAGGAAGATGAGTTTTCAGGACACTTGTAGTGAGCCGCAAGCAAAACGGCCGACTGGAAAGTGTCGAAAGAGACAGAAGCTGACTCTGGTGTTACTTCATATACGTATGCAGGCGAGTATGAGTGTTGCCGAATTGCTTCGGCCCACGATATCAGATCAGTGGCGTCGAATGACGAGACATGCCGAGGAAAGGGTAGGTCAAAGGCGGTGTCTTGTACGAGGGAAGGAAGAGGCTTGCGAGCAAGCAGTAGCGATTGTTGCGACTCGAGAATGTAGCAAGACAAAAGCAAATGTTGCCAGGATACTAGCTCGATCCATTGTTGCCAGCAAGCCGAAGTTGGCTCTACAGCTTGGTCAAGAGACGACACGATGTCGCTTAAAAGTCGAGCATTGCGTCTGGAGTCTTCGGCAGCCTGTCTGTGTTAGCCTCTTCTGACATATATATATATCAACACTGAACCTACCTTGTGATACACTTTGCCGAATCGCGGGGACAAGACGTTGCCAGTTCGACGAGCACGGTACTGAGAGAGGACCTCGAGAAGAAATATTGCCTGAAAATCGCAAAGTCGGTCGGACTCCGTCATTGTTTCTCGGTCCCTCTGCCGATGATTAGTCCATGGTCACAATGCCATGCAATTAATCTACCACTTCGAGCAGTTTAATGCACCGGTCGTGAAGGTCTCGGGACTGCTTCTTGACGTTCGTATCGTGTGAGTACTGACCCCCAATGGCAGCCATGGCGGCATGCAGCATTGGTGATGAGTTCACAGAGGTAGATCGATGGACGACGGGGAAAGTGGGATGAAAGAGCCTCCAGTAACAGTCAAGACATTGCTCAAACGGATAGGTGTTGTCGATCGAAGCCATACCGTATTGTTGTTCTCCAAAGAGAATCACTCTCTCCTCTTCATCTCTCTGCATCATGCTCTTAGGCCCAAAATGCCCATATTCGGACATTGCATCGAAGCTGGAAGTGATTGACATGCTAGTCATTGGACAAGAAGTGTGCATGTAAGCAAGACCTGGAGCAGTATGCCCCTTGTCTGAAGAAGGCCAGGTGAAGGCCATGGTTGATGTCGTAGAAGCAGGGGAGCGTGACGCAAAGGTCCATCCGGGCTGATCAATGCATGATGCGTTCGAAGGAGTGCGTGTTCGGTGGTAAGGCGTGTAGACGGGGTAGTCTGTTGGTGCGATTGGTGATACATAACCGCTGGTAGAAGAAGAGTACCCCAGAGGGCTGTATGGTTCGGGCCACAGACCTGGAACGCCAGGTTCGACCGATACCATAGCCGGTGCAGGTTGGCGGTTATAATGGAAAGATCGATGATGTTTAGATTGACTTGAAAGGCATCAGCATCTGCTCTCATGAACGGTGGTGAAAATAATTGAAAAGATGGGAAACGTGCTGTAGATGTACAATGAAACTCACTTGGGGCTGAAAACAGACTGTGGAGAAGAACGAGGAACATGACTGAAACTTGAAGAAAAAGCCTGAGGCGTTCGAGGAGTACGAAACTGAGCGTAATTATACCTTGGGGGTGGCGCCGACTCATGCATAGGAGAGGCGGGCGGATAATATGGATGGTTTGGCAGAGCATGTGTAGCGCTCAGGATGGGCTCGGGAGCAGGGGTGGAGATGGGCAATGGGACTGGTGACTCGTCGATGCTTGGTCGACGGGAGTCATTTCCCATCTCATTGCTGTTAAATACGTCAGTGCCGAACTGTTAAAAGCCACGTCGATCCTACGTACTGCCGCTCCTGGTGTCGAACAAGAAGATCCATGCGATGGAATACCTTGCCACATCCAGCGACGTCACAGATTAGTGCATCGTCTGGTGTGTGGTTCTTCATGTGCCGTCTACATGAAAAGTCAATATAGTTTCGCTTAGCAGTGAGTTTGGGCTGACCTTAGATGCTCCGCGCGTGTGTAAGACTAGTGGTAGTTAGCAAAAGAACAATTTTGTGAAGCGTTTCTGTTTGACTGGATATGGTGGGGCGTAATATGATACCGATATGGTATAATCAGGGTGCCAGTTTGTGGCTGCAGGACGAAGAATCTCAACTCACCTTTCCACAGGTATCGCACTTGTGCACCTTCAAGCCTTTCTTTGCTTTGCTGATGCGACCAGTCTTGGTGTAGTGAACGGGCGACATGTGGGAAGCCATATCTGTAGGACTCGCGGTCGATGGTTGCTCAGAATGTGAGGAGCCGATGTGGGGGGCAGAAGGCTCTTGTTGGATATCGCCAGGGCGATGACGAGGGCTAGTCTTCCTCGACTTCTTGGAGTGGTTATACGTTGGTGACGATTTGCAATGGTCGATGTGAAGGGATGTTGGTGAGGGAGTGGTGCTGCCTTGCAGATGTTGTAGCTGGTTGGTAGTTGGATCCAATGGGCGGCCTCCGGTCTCGCTGGGTTCAGACATGTTTGACGGAGGTGGCGACGAGCGGTATATATCCAAGGCGGGAGTGATGGGGCTAACAGGTATGGGAGGCTCAAGTGGGGGTGTAGGCAAAGCGAGCCAAAAGACCCAAATGTGGTTGTGCGGGAGACGGCTATGGGCTAGTAGTCATGTCCTGGGCGTGTCGGCCTAGTTCCCCCAGGACAATGATAGGCACTCGGAAGTATGAGGGTTGAATTAAGAAACACTTGCCAGGGGTGGTAATTTAACGTGGTGTGTACAAGGCCTGAATGGGACAGATGGCCGTTCCAAATCAAGGCATTTGTGACAATTGTGGTGAAGGAAAGGCTGCGCCCGGATGTGTTTATGGAGAAGACTGTAAATATCTGCGGGCTGTGCCTGAGCCAACCCCGAACGAGGAGCCTACTCGAGGCAGGGGTTCTGGGAGAGCGATGGACAGATAGACGCTGCAAGCACGCATGCACAACAGGTAGGTATGAGGCTTGACAGGGGATCCACCAGAGGTAGTGCATTGGCCAGGCCTGTAGCAAAACCATGCGCCTGAGCCCGCGGGCATGGCTGCGGGCTTGCCATCGAACGGTTCCGTCACGAACATTGGGCAAGAGAGCGTCCACGCGCCATAATTGGGACATGACTGGGGGATGGTGGGTGGTGGTGGCCAGGCTACGGACCGTTCCCGCCTCGGTCTTTGCATCGGTTCCTCAGAGGAGTGTGGCTTGAGAGCCCATGGAGGACCCGAAAATAGAGACTCGCGTGGAGCGTGACGGGTGTGCTCAGCCCATGCTCCTGCAACGGTGCACCGTCCTGCTGCCGCTTACACGCAGAGGCGAGGAGAGAGTACAAGATGGCATAATGACGACGACGATGACAAACCCAAGTTCCTTACAGAGAAGACTATGGAACAGTGGCGGTAGTAGGTGCCGTGAAGGCGGACGCACGACTTGTCGCGGGATTGCGATAATCGCCCCTGCAGTGGGCAAGATACATATGCCCGAAAGTTTCGCACGACGATGCGTGGCCATTGGTAGAGGTGGGGACTGTCAGGTGCGTGAGCGGCATATGTGTAGTGTAGCCTCACGTGTAGGTAGCCTCGTTGCCAGGGCCCCATCCCGCCATGCAGCATCCATCACCATACACACACACACACAACAATGTACGCGGCAGAACCACGGCCATGTCTCTCATTACAAGCCGCTTGGCCGAATAGCAGGCCACAACGGGACTCGAGGTAAAACTCTGCACCACATATTCCCTGGGGGCGTGCTGTCGAGTCGAGTGTGCTTCAAGCGACCATTCGTCAATGAGCAAATAGCCAGAGCATAAGCACGGTAAGCAGTCCCTCCGTGTGCACACACAAGGAGCGGCTTCAAAGGGTCCCCGGTCCCTGGCCCTCGCCCAATCTCCACACAGGTAGGGCGTCCAGGGCGGGAGGCCTGACCTAGTTTTAGCGTGTCGGTGCAGGCAAAAAGCTTGGTCGTTGTGTTCCCAAGCTTTTCAGCCTTTTAGGGTGGGTCAAAAGGCAAATGAAAGCAGACGGCGGGCGTACGCTTTTGCACTGATCTGCACGGCTTTGGCCAAAGGTGTAGAGGACGTGGACTTTTGATGAGGGTCGACGCGCTTTTGCTCGGCATACAAGGACGAACTGCACGACGCACGTCACAGGCTTCACCGGTTTCCATGGTTCAAGCTCCTGCATCTACACGCATCGGGGATGCTGCGCGTGTGAGGGGAGCTCGATGGACATGGGTTTTTTTGGTTGCACATGGGAACTTCGCACCTTGTTGCAATATTCGGGCACTTTGCGAGCCTGATTGTCGGGCCAGGGCCGTTGCTGGTTTCATGATGGGCTGAGCTCCTTCGTAACCGAGACGATGGGAAGGTTGCGATGATCCCCGTCAGCAAGGCGGAAGTATGGACATGGGCAAGCGAGCTGTGTGACCCGTGGAGTAGGTCAAGATGACCAGGACCTGTTAGCTGGAAAGCCGGCGCGTAAATTAGGATGCCAGTTGCATTCTACTCTAATGGACCATGCCACGATGGCGACTTGGCCGCACCCTAAAAAAAATAGGCAACGGGCAGGCGGCGGCTCTCGCGATTCGAAGAGACAGAAACACGTCGGTCGGTTAGGGCATATTAGTAGCGGAAACCATGGCATTTGCTGTTTACGCTCAAGCGTAGTTGACAGCGACGAATCCTTGGAGGAAAAACTCATGGCGGACGAGGCTGGCGGAAAGGATCGCCTGTGCGGGCCACGCCAAACGTCTTGAGCAACTCCCCCCGCATGGCTGGCCATGTTTGTGTGCCGGCATAACCAGCAAAGGGCGATTGAGAACCAAAAGGGTATCACGGCGACGCATAGATGAGACGGGCATGCAGCCATGCCTCGCGCTCTTGGAGGCCGAAGCCACATGCAGAGGTGGGCTGCACGTGTGTGCGAAGCTGGACAGGACCCGTCTCTTGGGTAGCATTCGGTTGACGCACGCATCTGAGATGGATAACGCCCCCTGCACGAGAATGGGTCCACTAAGGAGTTATCTGGCATGCCCTGGAGCCCCGAAGCCGTGACAGGCGTGAGGCCAGACATTATGTGCAAAGCTATGTACCTTGACCGACAGATAACTGTGCACTCTGAGACTTGGCCAATCCATGAGTTCGCGCTTGTGGCCAGTGTGGAAGCGATAGCCGTTTGCCGGCCCGGCGAGGCTCCCAAGCAGTGTGGGAGAGTGGGACGTGTTGAGAATAGGCCGCGGCATGGTATGCGGCAGCTTGCGGCCGAGTCGCGAAGGAAGAGGGGAGAGGTGGAGAGAGAGAAACAGAAAGAGAGAGCGAGCGAGTGGTAAGGGTGTTGCCGTCCCGCACATGGTACGATTCAGGTATCTGTCATGGCCAGACTCACCCCCGTGCCGAAGTGGCTCCGACGACGACGACGACATCTGGAGAGAAATTGCGAGGCCTTGCGATGGTTTGGTTTTAGTACCATTATTTCCGTCGCCAGCTTCTCCATGTAGGCGTGTGCGCCCGCGCGGTGCACCCGACGGCACCAAGCCTGACAGCCGCCTGTCGCTCTGCCAGTATGGGGAAGCCGAAGCAGCAGACTAGTACGGGTTATGCCGCCGTACGTGACGTGAAAGCCAGGTGCGCTGTCTATCTGTGTGAGCTGAAGCGATGGCGTAGCCGGCGTTTCCGTGGACATGTTACTGGGAAGGGCTGGGGAGATGATAGGCAGCGCGATGACAGGGCAATGCTGGGGAGCGAGTGCGAGGGAGGTGGGAGCAGGAGGAACAGCAGGCGCACAATCACACAGAGATACACGTGACTTCATCTCATCTTATGCGATGAGGCCCGTGCACGACCCGCACATGCCCACACCCACATCCACATTTACAACCCACACGCATCTCTCTATCCATACACACGCACACATACACATACACACATCATGTCGCTTATGCTGTGTGCATCGGCCAATATTGCGCCGTGCAAAGCTACCCATTCCACTATTCATAGCCTCGCCGCCAACACCTCACTGTGCTTCCCCAGCCATGTTGACCTCATGTGTGCTGTGACGGGCTGCACTAGCGTTCCCGTTGGTGTATTTTTAGCCCAACCCACAGCCTAGTCTTCCTTCACCACCAACAAATCTGCCTCGCCAAAACAGTCACCACACCCACGCTCTTATCACCGCCATCCAAGTCCTTTGCATCCTTATGACGGCATTGCGCACCCTGCAATCCACCCTCGCTGCCCGAATAATGCACCATTGCTGCCTTGGTTTGCTCTAGCCCGTGACCTATGGCCCAGCCCAGAATATCCCTCTCCGCATCCCATACTCCACTACCGCATCCTCCAGCCTTGCTGTGAGGTGACGTCCCGTTTGGCCATCCACCCCGCCCATGAATAATGCCAACTGAGTAATCACTCGCCATATCTGTGCCTGTGTAAGCGCTGCTCGGTAAGCCACATGGCCGCTACCATCTGACCTCAGCACTTTAACTGTTTTCCTTCTCGAGTGCTTTGGCTTCTTTACACTGATTTGCTTGGCCACTTAATTGTTTCTATTCCCAACTCTTGGCTCAGGTACAATCTCTTTCTCACCTCGGGTCCCACCCTTAGCCTCAGCCTACTTACTCACACCAACTCAAGCTTGCGCCTTCGACACGCCTCTGGCTTCCATGACTCGTCCTATAACCGCCCAACTAATGCAGCCCAGAATACCTTACTCTACTCCACCTCGGCCCAAGGTCGAGCTTTGATGGCTACCCAGTGGACAGGTTTCGGTTTTCACCCTGCATCCTATCCAAACCACGGCTTGTTCGGTGACCGTCTTACAATATTCCGGCGCTTAGGCTGGCATTTAACCTACATAACCAGCCCGCTGTTACAAAGTAAGACATTCAACACTCGTACTAACAACGCCTCCGACGGCTGCCGTAACGGTCGTTGAGAAGTGGCGCTCATGGGGATCACTCGGCTACCCTGGCATAAAAGCAAATATGAATCGTAGTAAGGCCCCCTGAGACATACTGATTTGCCGCTCCAGGGGCCACGGAAACAGCCGCTGAATGGGGGAAACAATACGCTTTCACGCAATACCTTCTGACCCAGCATTTGTGTGCTGCTTCAGGGTCCGGCAGGCATCTGATGTAGAGTATGAGGCGATGCAATCTCTGCGAACCACTAATAATAGTCAAAGAAAAATCAATTGCCTGCTCGACGTACTCGACGTTGGATGTGCAGATATGGCACAGATACGGCACAGTTATGCAACATGGAAGGCATGTATGCTGTAACGCGGCAAAGTACAGCAAATGCCCCATTACATACTCGTCCGAAGCCAAAGTTAGGCTCTCTGCCGCACTTCTAGTTTTTGCTTGATTTCAAAGTGCCGTACTCGTGTCATCGCGGGTCCGTCCGCAACGGTAGGGCGTTGCGTTCCGAGCCATGTCGCTGTGCCTCTATGCGAACCCTTACGCCCCAACGGGCGCCTGTGCATTCTGACTACGCTTTACAACGAAGTGGAGTTTTTTTACGAAATACGAGTCTAGCTGTGCCACACTTATAGTGCCACCGCCACATTCGGTGCGCATTGTAGAGAATGCCGACATGTTCGTATTACTGTCTGGATGATAAATCGTACGACGGGCGCACTGGCTCTGTCGACGAGCACTAAGTATATTAGCCGGACTACCCTAACTCGGGCTGAATGAGCCAACAGCGTATTACACCATTAGCTGATATATCCAGTCCCAGCGATGCAACTCTTAATCTCTAGTGCGGCATACTTGCCTACTGTATGTTCAACGGAAATAAACTCCTGATACAAATCAATTCTGCGCATCATTTAATTACCGCTTTCGGAAACTTATACGAAGACTGATGAGTTTTCCCATTGCTTATTGTGCTGATGACCAACATCACATCTGCTTCTCTCTTGAGTCATAGACAGCGGTAGATTACAGAGCTGATTGCACATTTGTAAGTACTAAAGTATGACATGTAGCATCAGGATACATTAGTACTTTATCTACTATTTTTTCCAATAGTGAAGCTTACTACAACACACGTGTCCGGATCCCCTCCCAAGTGGAGAAGAAAACAAGAAAGGCAAGGAACCAAGTCCATCTCTACTATAACGTTCGGGGTAGAAACCGTTTCTCCAGCTACCATTTGCCTAATGCACTACAAGCATGTCACTCCTGTCGTATACACTCAAGCTCCAACACTTTAGCTCATGGAAAAAATCTCCGATAGCTTCCCTACGCCCTGACATCAAACAAGAGTTTAATTCGACGTCGCACTCCACCCCAAGACCAGCCAGTCCATCTCCGACCACTACAGTCAGCAATACGATCCAGCTCTAATCAACAAACTTTCATCAATAAGAAAGACTTCTTGCCAATTGGTGACGCGCATCTCAACGAAACACGGCACCGACCGCGCATAGCAGCGGCGCCTCCAACTACCGCACGCGTAGATCCGTGAAGCGGAGGCTATACCGTATCCTCACCCTCGCCGACAAACACTAAACAGCCCTTCCCCCCCCTCTCTCTACTTACAAGCACCACCACGCACCCTGCCACGTCGGCACTCTAGCCCTCTGAAATAAAGTTCGCCGCTAACCCCCCTCCGAACCAACGCAGACCCACTCATACATCCATCGAACCATCTATTATTCCCGCGGCCGTCAAGAAGAAAACTCCGTTAAATGACGTTTTGCTTTCTTTCACTACTATCGCACTGTACAGTACAGCTATCTAACCTGTTGGCGCCTCTACTTCCCCAAGAGAGGCCCGATCCCCCATACTAGCAGCATCGCGTGTCTAACCGCAAAAAGACATGTTCATATTTTTTCACTGCACGGAATGATTATGGCGTGTCATAGGCTCTCGGGCTGAAAGAAGGCAACGCAACAGAGAATTGAGTGCACATGCTTTTGAACGGCGATGCAAGGACCACAACCCGCTGATCTTAGCTGGGCGGGCGGGCATGGCTGCAACAGGTGATGTGGCTGAAGTGGCGTTTTAGGAGGCTTGAATGATTCAGAGGCATGGAGGAAGGAAGGAGGGGGAGGAGGGGACGTGTGTACGGTTGCAGTTGCCAGGGACAGAGTAGATACACGATACCCGGAAATTTTGCGGCTTCAGGGTTTTCCTTTCGGAAAACCCTGAATTGTGACGAGATCGAGTCATTGACTGTTATCCCCTTGTGGCAATCCTTTCCGCTTTTTTGTGTGTGGATTACTGGGGTAAGTTTTTTAGGGGGAGGAGGGCGGTTGGGTACGAGGCTGAGCGAGGCTGAATCGTGATAAAGACAAACGTCGGGGCTTGGTGTTGCCGACTTGCATGGTTTGCGTATGCGTATTTTGCTTGCGCGAATCTGGAAATGAATACGCAGGCGATCGGGAATCGGGTGCGGCGTGTTTGATGTAGATAACGCCGACCCGACCCCTCTCTTTCTCTCTCCGCACCCCCCCCGTTCCCCTGAAACCAGTTAGTTAACATGCAAGGAACAGGAATACATCAAGATAAAATTGTCCAAGGGGGATGTGGTGGGGCTGGGATTTCGCTCCCGTCTGCCGATCATGCACGGTACTGTACTGCGAGGAATGGTGGTGGAACTTGATCGCGTTGCACTGGTAATGCAAGGTGGGCATTTGGGACTTTGGCTAAGATTACAAAAGTCTTTTCTTTCGCTATTTCATTTGTAGGTAGCATAGCTAAACTCCCTACGGATGCTCTTCAAAAGTGCAACTCATGAGACTGCTGCCTTCGTATTCTCGGGAGGCCTAAGGAGTCGCGATCGATAAAGTATCGAGACTGACTCATGTGCCTCCCGCGGAGACAGAAACAGCATGTCTAGACATTATCGAGTCTTTTTGGGATACATTGGAATCAAGTTTCACCGTGCCCAATGGTCATGCCTCCGATTGTCATCGAGATCGCTCCGACAACAATCTCCGCCTTTTCGCTTCTTGTTGAATTCTCCGTGATGCTAGGCAGTAGATCATCACATCAAATCCCCCGGTTTTATAGATGCTTGGACAGATTGTGGAGCCTAATAAGTACCTTTTGGGACTCCAATCGTAAAGAAAAGTACCAAATGAAGTAATCGTGGAAGATGTGATTGGATCGATTATCTTTCCCACGCGCTTCTGTATTTGACCTCGTACGGCTACCAGCTTTGTCAGATTGTCGTGAAGATTTTCTCGGAGATGGACAACAGCAGGGAGGTGAATATTGACAGACATGTCATCATGAGTAGGCCCAGGACGTATCCAGCCTGACTGTGAAAGAGGGAGTGTATATATAAAATCTCCGTACCGTTCAAAACAACAAATATGACCAGCCAATAGCGGGGCATTCATAACTCCATCTCAAGTATTACAAACATTTGTGTTGCAAGAATCATGAGGTTCGCTCCCACTGTAGCACTGGCTCTGCCGGCCATAGCTGCCGCCTACCCCGGCAAGATGGGTCCCACATCCCGAGCGGAGATGGAGCAACAGCTCCTAGCACAAATGGAGAGCGAGGATCTTGCTAAACGGGCCGCGGAGCCCCAACTCCTGAAACCTGTCGGTAACCTCCTGGGCTCGCTTGGCGACCTGGTTGATGGTCTCTTGACTTCAGTCGGTCAGGCTGTTGTCAAGAAGAGCAATAGGCATCCTGAACCCGGCTTCGAGTTTAAGGCCCCTGGACCAAATGACTCTCATGGCCCTTACCCGGGTCTCAATCTTCTTGCCAACTACGGATACCTGCCGCGCGATGGATACGTCAATTTTGGCCAGGTACTGGGGACTACGGCGCGTGGTTTCAACATAAGAGTGGATCTTGCTACAGTTCTGGCCACCTTTGCTGTCTGGGGCGGTGGCGATCTTGATGGAATATCGTTCTACCTCGGCTCAGGGAAAGACGGCATTGGTGTTTGAACCGCCATTCTGTTGTTGAAGCTGATGTATCGCCCAACCGCGAAGGTATGATATAACCTCTTCATCATGTAAATCTGATCGAGCGAATTCTTTTGAACCAGACTGCTATAACAGCTGTGGCGAAAACCACTACATCTCTTCTCGCCTCGTCAAGCGGATGGTTGGTTTCGCCACCAAAGACCCTAAGAAGGAGCTTAGCATGAACGTCATGGCAGAGCACTATGCGCAGTCTGCTAGCTTCAGTAGGAGCAACAACCCCTTTCTTTACTACTTTCCATTCCCCCAAATCTTATCTCTCGGCGCCCTTGCCTTTTAACCTTGGTTCTTCTCGAACGGCACTTACGGTGCAGGCGGGGTCCCAAACCACATGAGAATCACTGGCGCCGAGTATGATGCGCACACTAAGGAATTTAAATACGTTCCAGAGCGTTGATAGGAGAACTGGTACCGTCGCGATACTCCGTACGGTGTGGTCCAGACCATTGCTGATGGCTTTTTGGCTGTCTACCCGCGCAGCATCATCGTGCCTGGAGCAGCGCAGGTGGGCACGCCCAACCTCAGTGTTCAGACAGTCCTCTACGATATGTACCAGGATCTAAACTCCATTGCTCCGCTTGCGCTTGGTGACACAGGGGAGAATGTCGCAAAAAGAGTTTCTTGGGCTCTTTTGGTCTTGGATCTTCTGCTCAGCAAGACGGCGCTTGGATGTCCTGACAGAGTTATCTCGCTCAACTTTTTGTTTCCGGGTTCACAGAAGGAAGGGGGTCCTGTGAACCTGCCACGGGTGCTGTCGGATCGTTGGATAGGGAATAATGTTTATGGAAAAGTATATTTCGTCAGCAACAAGGTGCGCGTAGAGGCCATGTGTAGCCATTAGAGATGAAGGGTAATGCCCATAATCTTTGTGATTGACAATGATAATGAGACTGCGTATGCATCATCTTTCGCGTTTCTTTTTTGTAACGTGATTGCAGTTGAAGAAGGGCAGAGACATCCTGTATATCAAGACAGTGACAGTAGAAACAAGGCATGTAGTTGGGACGGACAAATTCGATTACGCCGAAAGGTTTGTGGTGATTCGTTTGAGTTTGATGATGATCCTGGTGCAGATCGGTCGAAGGTGAGGCAGATCGCCGCAGGGGGCTCAAACGTAACGTACCGTACCGTACCGTCGCTGGAAAGGTCCGTCAGCACCGACATGCGGGGAGTGGTGACGACAACATGACGGCGGTCATCTGGAGGAATGCAAAAAGGTCGCGTTGCGACCGTGGTGGAGCTTTCAACAATGTTTACAATGGCAGATTGACGATGAAACGGAGAAGAGCGGATGAGGCTAGTTGGCGGGCTGAGACGCTACTATCGCGACTGGTAGCATGGGCGAGTTGACCGGGCCATGGACGCGTTAGTAGCCTCTTGGGCACCGACCACGAACGACGAGCGACTCAGCGACTCAGCGACTCAGCGCGGTTCACTCCTTGAGATGAGCATCTTATATACACCTACTTCCTTCGATACAGTGCGCGGATGAGGAGATGGTATAGGCTTATACTTAAGAAAAGAGGAAGGGCGAGGGCGCCACATGCAATGGACTCCAAAGGGCAGCTCGAGCAGCCCATGCACACGAACCCGGCTGCGCTTACACTGTTAGAAGCACTGGATGTCGACAAACGCCCCTCATTCATCCTCGAACTGCCCTCTCAATTGGCGTACGATAAGCCGCTCGATCTGGTATATTCCAACCCAGCTCTGACAGCGGCTGCTGGGTTGCTGGCCAAAATAACGGGACACAATGAAACGAGCATATTGGATGAAAGCACCGAAGCTCAGCTTGCTTTCCGGGATTGGGTCTGCGGCAGGGCACAAGAGGGTAGCCTGCAATGGCCGAGCCATGTCTACACCTTTGAAGGCCATTTGTGGAACATCCTCACCATTGGACGCTGCAGGGTCGTCAGCGGAGTACCCACATCACTAATGCTGGCCAATACAGGGCCAGCAAGCAGGAACCACCGCAAACCGAGTCGCGATAGCAAGACACTGGAGAGCAAACAGCTCAGAGACACATCCCCTACTACGCCTCCCACACTACCAGTACAGCTGCCTGCGACCCCCGACAATGGTGGAGACTGTTCTGATGCCCAAAAATATGCTAGGGACGGACCTTTTGACTACACCTCGGCTGAATTTCTATCGGAAATCATACCTGGACTTCATATTGATTATTTCCACAGTGTAGACTGGGCCAATACTTCCCTTGGGCCGATCCAATCTTGGTCACCTGACTTGCGTTGCATGGCAAACATGGTTCTCGGCAATAGTGGACCGACCGTCTTATTCTGGGGCGATGAGGGTGCAATGCTATACAATGAGGCATACATCCAGCTACTCGGCCATCTCCATCCTTGCATGGGCAAGAACGTCCGCACCCATGCGCCCGAGCATTGGCCTACATTCCAAGCCATCGTTCACCATACCAACGACAAGGATGAACCTCTGGCTGAACCAGACATCCTGCTGTTCATCGATAGAGACGGACGTTTTGAAGAGACCCATTGGTCATTTCGGTTTGTGCCAGTATTGGATCGCCATCGTGGCACAAAGGCCTACTATCAAACCTTTTACGAAGTGACCGAACACCGTCTCCTTGAGCGCCGCGTCTCTAGTCTGGTATCCATGGGTACTCAAAGCGAACGTGCAAGGAACTTTCCCTCCTTTTGGGACACAACCTTGAGCTCTCTGGGCCTGAACGATAAAGACGTGCCGCTAGCTCTTTTGTATGCTGCTGAGCGCCATATAAGTGCAGAAATCACATCAGTTTCATCGCCAGGTAGCCCACCACCATTAGACGCGTGCGTGCTCAAGGGTACGATTGGTGTTGAGGCTGGCCATTCCATCGCCCCAACGACTATCAACATCAACGAAGACACATACCTGCTTCATTCCCATATTCGCCGCGCCGCACAATCCAGAAAAGCTACTGTTGTGCGTCTGGATCAGCTTCCTGGATCCGATGCTGCCTTGAGAGATATCAATTGGAGAGGCTACGGGGAACCCTGTCGCACCATTGTCGTGTGCCCTATCATTCCAACAACTGGCAATCAGGTCGAAGGCTTTCTCATCATTGGCCTCAACCCCCGCAGACCATTTGACGAAGACTATCAGCAATACCTCCAAGTCATGGTCCGTTTGCTAGCTACTTCGCTAGCTTCAGTTGTACTCTTTGAAGAAGAGGTCCGGCAACGAGAAAATGCCATTGCCCAGGCTGCACAGATCCAAGAGCAATTGATGGCTGAGATAAAGCTAGAAGAAGGAAAATTTCAGCGGTTTGCAGAGCGCTCTGATGTCGCTATTTTCATAACAAATCCCGCTGGGGACTACACGTATCGAAACCAGCGCTGGTACGATATGTTTGACATTGCCGGGTTGCATACCAATGCTACAGAAGCATGGCACGCTATTGCCTTTGAAGAAGACATAGCTTACTGCAAATCAATGTTTACGAAGCTTGTGGCCGATAATGAACACGTTTGTTTCGAGCTACGAACAAGGATGCCATGGTTTCCACCCTCGGACCTTAGCCAATCGCAAACCCTGGACACTGAGCATTTTAGGTGGATTTTGTGCTCAGCTTATCCTGAAGTAGGACCTAGCGGTGAACTCGTCGAAATAGTAGGCAACGTCATTGATATTTCCAAACAGAAATGGGCCGAAGATCTTCAAAAGATTCGCACCGACAGCGCACTTCAGGGAAAACAGCATCTAGAGCACTTCATCGACACGACGTCGCACGAGATGCGCAATCCCCTGAGCGCAATTATGCAATGTGCAGATTCCATCATATCTTCGTATGCGCAGGACGAATGCCGTGCAACGAATACAAACGAGTGGTCAGCTTTCCTAGAATCTACTCTGGATGCTGCACAAACTATTGCTCAGTGCGCCCAGCACATGAGACATATAGTAGACGATGTTTTGACAATATCCAAGCTAGATTCAGGCCTTCTAGACATGACGCCTGTAGTTGCACAGCCTGAAAATGTAGCAAGACATGCTGTCAGAATGTTCGACGCAGAAGCAAGAGCTGCAGGGATTGATATCTCCTTAGTGGTTGACCAGTCCTACCGTGACATGGAAATCGATTGGACCTCCTTGGATCCAACAAGGGTGCTACAAATTCTCATCAATCTCCTTACTAACGCTATCAAATTCACACGCCTCGAGAAGACCAAATCAGTCAAAATGACGCTTTCTGCCAGCGTAACAGAGCCAACCTCGACTCCTGGAGGAGTTCAGTTCAACGAAGAGAAACTAGTGGACCATGATCAACGCCTTGAAGACGACTGGAAGCACGCCCAAGATCTCATATACCTGCAGTTTTCCGTCACCGACACTGGTCGCGGTCTTTCAGAGGACGAAAAGGGCACATTGTTTACTCGCTTCTCGCAGGCTTCTCCTCGCACTCACATCAACTATGGAGGTTCTGGCTTGGGTCTGTTCATATCACGACGCTTGACCGAACTGCAGGGCGGTGCCATTGGTCTCTCAAGTCAATCTGGTAAAGGCAGTACATTCTCCTTCTACATCAAAACAAGGCGGACGAAGCCTAGCACGAAGAGAAACGGAAGCTTACCACATGTATTCCCTGAAGATGTAAAACACCGGCCTCTAGTGAACTTGACGAGGCCCACGGCACCCTTGCGCTCCTTCACCACCGAAGACGCGCGTATAGCAAAACCTCCTCATCCAAATATCCGACGATCCTCGGCAAACTCCTATCAACCCCTTTCAACCCGCTCCCACACTGACCCCGAAGCCCTCCCGCTATCTCAAAAACCCCGCCCACAAGACCCCAAGCCCCTCCCAAAACACACCCCACAACCACTCCACGTCCTCATCGTCGAAGACAACCTCGTCAACCAACGCGTCCTCGCCAAACAACTCCGCGCCCTAAACTGCACCATCAGCGTCGCAAACCATGGCCAAGAAGCCCTCGATTTTCTCCCCAAAACCACCTTATGGAACCATTCGCACCCTCTCTCTTCCTCCTTCTCCCTCAAAGAAAAATACCACGTCCCCTCCACCGAACCCATGCCTCTCGGCTACGACGATGACGTTCCCGCCATCCCGCTCAATCTTATTCTTATGGATTGGGAAATGCCCGTTATGAACGGGTTGAAGGCTGTGGCGGAGATCAGGAGGTTGGAAAAAGAGGGGCTTTTGAGGGGGAGAGTACCGGTTATTGGGGTTACGGCGAATGTCAGGGAGCAGCAGATTAGGATGGCGGTAGAGGCGGGCATGGATGATGTGGTGGGGAAGCCGTTTCACGTTGCAGAATTGTTGGGGAGGATGCGGGATGTTGTTGCGGGGAGGGGTGCGGGGGAGGGTGAGGGAGAGGGGACGGGGGGGTATGAGAGTTTTGGGTGAGAGTGGTTGAAGTGGTAGAAGGGTTTTTGCTCGGTTCCTTTTGTTCCAACGGGTGGTGAATCGTAAGGGTATTTTGGGCGGGTTTACTTCGGGTGCAGAGCGCGTTTTGATTCGGTCACGCTGCCATGTAGTCTCTTTGGGCGATTTATTCCCTTTTATGTATAACGAGTATTTGATGTCTGGTAATCTTGTATCTTTTATGATAGCAAGTAGGTATTACTTGAATGAAAACCATTCTTTACCATTTAATTTCACCTTCTTCTCAGACTTGAGTTTAGCAGAAATGTGTCTGAAGGAACAACAGCAATGTTAGTATCTTTTTTCGGATCTTTTGAAGGAACAGATGAAAATGACAATTCAAAAAATTTGCATTGTTATGGAACTGTTCATACATGGTGCACGTAGCACTCGCTCAACGCTCAGCAATATCCCTTACATACGACTCTTCATGCTAGCCCCTTTATTACTTGTCTGTAATGGGTACAGCGGGATTCTAAGTCGGCTTTTCCTTTTTGATATGAAATCCAGGACTACTATGTTGAATGTTCCTCGGAGCCACCAACTCAGACTGCTCTTCATGTCTAAGGTTACCTACACCCATTTGCTTTTTTCCAAACTGAGATGCTGGAACTTTTGTTTGCGAAGGTGTATTGTGCGTTTCGTCTTCGATGTCTAGGAAAACAATCTCATCTGGTTCTTGCATAGAGATAAGAGGGTAAGCGCTATTGACAGGTTCTTGGACCTTGGCTACTGTGCCGTTGGACAGCGTGGTGGTGATAACAGACTGTGGGTCTTGGGACCCGGGCTTGGGTGGATCGGAAACGGCTTGCTCGGATGAAGAGAATTGGTGTAGTGCGTGGCCCTTGTTGGCTGCAAAGAGATTCTTGACGCGCGTGAGTATGGGCACAATTCCAGTGACCTGGACTTTGCCAGATGTCACGGCACCAGTGGTGGTTGAGACAGCTATTCCGGCAAGTTCGATACCGAGGTTCGCGATCTTTAGGGCGACATTTTCAACGAAACGATGCTGGAATGGAGGTGGTTAGCTTAATCTATTTTCTTCTGAGTGCTGTGGTTGCTCATACTTGATACATCTTTCGCTCTCGACCAGCAATCGCGGGTGGGTGATATACGATCCATCTGAATGTTTTCCCGTTGTTTTGCCCATAATGGAACTTTTCATCGAGCTGCAACAACGCCCAGTTCCCTGCAAAAATCAGCAAGGTTCGTCATAATAACTCGTCATCTTCATACTTGCGGCGTCTTTGTCTTTGTACTTTTTCTCCATGATATCTGCGAGATGCAGATTCTTCAGATGTGGGGCCCCCTGCATCCTGCGTTCTATATATTCAGAAGCAATAAATATAAGTGTTTCTCCTGCACAGAAGTCTTAGAATGACGAAAAGACGTAATGACATACTTTGCAACTACTTACCCTTGGGAGCTAGACCCTTGCGGTAACCGTCCTCACTATCAGTTTTGTCCACCCTGTCACCAAACCAACACTTGTCGACATAGTATCTGGCCTGCTGCTGTGTTTTGTCACTCCACCACTCGAGCTCTACAGGAGAAAGCTGCTCAAGAGGAAAGGTGATCCAGTCGCCGTACTTTGGTATAATAGTCATGGTAACGAGCACCGGTGGTGAGAATGATATCAGTGAACAGATATATGTGTTGTTAAGGATATGTAGTCAATACACAAATTGGGGTCTTTGGCAATTTATATCATTAGTGTATTTCTTGACAGGATATTGTGGCTTGCGTAACAGACTATGATTGTTCAGTTGGTCTGTCTCACATTTTGGAAGAGAGGTTCTCGAACTCTCGTCTATCTCCTAGCCGAGGGCATTCAGATTCCTAGATGGCAAGCTAAAGAGAATATTCCACATAAACATTGTTCTCTTTTGGAAACAAGGCTTGTCAGTTCGGCTTTGCCGTCCCTTGTAATGGGCTGAGAGAGCAGCTGACGCCAATAGTTCTCCATGGTGACTGGTCTATGCTTTGACAACGGGCCGTTCCCTTGTTAGTGTGACGAGGTCTAGATTGAGGGGCACAGTCTAACGCAGGAACTTTGACAGCCACAAGCGAGGCGCTTGCCCTCATTTTGGATGTTCCAACACCACGTTCGAATAATCATTATCTTGACTGTCCACGATTAACTGATTCCGACAAGACATGCGGCATCGCTAGGATTTCATTGCATATACGAGTTGTGACTGCTAGTCAGGGCTACGTATTCTGCAAGCTTGGAGTAAGGGGCTAGTATCAGTTGAACCACCACGCCAGACTCGCACAATTGTGCACACTCCTTTACAGATACCCCACCACTCGTATTCAGACCCAATTCCAATAATTTTTTTTCGACTATCGCTTGCAGATTGCCGATTCGATTCATGCACGCCTTGGACATCTGATGGATCTCCTCGAGATTGGCTCCCTCTGACTTCTCGATGCACTGCTGCAGGGTATCATAGCTCTTGAAGGACACGGTGTGGTTTGAAAACACCTCTTTTGATGATGTTGTAGTGCTGATTGTCATCTCAATCCAGAGTACCTTGGCAGTGGCCCGAATTTGCAACATTTTTTCTTCGGACTGATCCTTGTGTTCGATAGTCACACATCCTCCCGCGTCAGCCCCAATCTGGTACCCAGCAATGTAGTAGTCCCCAAAAATACTGCAAAATTCGTTCTCCGACTTGCATAAAACGTTTCGTGCGTAAGGCGTCAATTGCGGATCAGCCTTGAAGCGGACATGTCCAGCTCGAAAACTGATGTTCTTGGAGACTCGTGTTCCCTACGATAGATTAATACCAATCATTTGCAAGCCTTTTGGTCTTCAAATACAGTAAGGTTGTCCGATACCGTTTCATCGTACGAACCGGTAACGTTGGCGCTGAGGAACTTGCAACCCACAGTTACTCCAAGACTAGCACTGAGGTGCTCTGAATGCTGCACTGACGAAAAACTGTTTCCTTCTCGGTAGCTTGAAGTTGTGCCACTGATTTCCATAACGCATTTTGCGTTGTCAATTATATATGGGCATTTCGATACCCAGGGCGAACTGCTGGATGCAATGGAAGCTGAATTGAAGCCTGATCCGATCGCAATGTAATCTTTGGACCAGGGCAGGTATAGAGGGAGGCCTTGAGATGCAAGGTTTTGGAGATCGTTCATTCTGAGGATATTCAGGCGGTAGTATCGTGTCTGAACAAGGACGTCTTTGGAGCTATAAGCCAGCCATCAAGTCCAGACCACGGTACTAGCAACAAAGGAAGGTCCAGACACTCGATCTATACAGATTCCAGAACATGATTTCCACTTGTGGCCTGGCGCAAAAGCAGCCCCGGCTGTGCCATAGCGTTTTGTGGCGTCTGGCGGCTACACTAGCGTTCAGGTACCCCATTCGAACAAAATCCATCATGACCGAGAGCTTGTTCACACATAAATACACGATGGAATCATTGTTCAGTTTTCCACCAGCGCTTTTCAATTCATACTCATTTATCAAGAGGCCGCCAAACTTGTCATCATTATTCTACCGTTGCTCGTCACACGTTAGCCACGATGGCGATGCTAGCACCTTACAACAACTCTATGCGCCTAGGGCAAGGATTCAATTCGTTCACACAGAAAATACGCATGACTGATGCTGTCACCGAAGCCAAAAGTGAATCGTCATCGCGTTCGGAAGACCAGCAGCCCAAGGGGATCAGTCAAATTGTTTCGTACTCGTCTCGCTTCGTTGACAAGCTCAGCGATGTGACTGATGTGATGAATGTATCTGCTTCTTTATCCATCAAAACAGGGACAATAGGTGGAGCCGTTAGCGGAACCTACATCGACTCGGATAAGTTCAAGACCAGCGATCTCAACTTCTTCATTCAAGTCAAGGTGACGAACCAAACACATATGGCGCACGACTATACAGAGTTTAGTAAACTGAAGAATCTCCCGGTTGCCAGATTCACTGAGATATATGGAGTAAGTACATAAAATAGACGCTTGTCAAGTTGTCGGTCAAATATTTGTAACTGACTTGAAGCCTAGGATTCGTTCATAGCCGGATGGGAGGAAGGTGGAGAACCCAATGCACTAATCTCAGTTAAAATACTGTCCGTGCGCACCCAATGCAACACTTCAGCCAATGCAACACCCCACCAAAATGCGAGCTCACCAAAAAATGAAGCTTTTAACCACCACCAAAACGCTATTATTGCGAGATTTTTTAGTGGAGTACTAGCATGATCGTATATTTAATATATATCTACTGATATTTGCTCAGCAACCGCACACTGCGGCCGCGGGTGGTGGTTTTGGTGATAGGCTTGGCGGGTGGTGTGTTATAAGTAACAAGAAGGATTCTCTCCTTGACGCAGGATGACGGGGTTGGAGGCCAACCACGTCCGCGTCAGACGGCTTGGCAGGTGGTGATGCATCACCACCACC